CATTGTTTCTTACACATTCAGATAAGAAATGAGACTCCAGGACAGCACAATACTCCGACTGTGGATTTCAGTAAGAATGTTCAATAGAAGCCAGCCTCCTGACCTCGTCTTTTCGGGGCTGCAAACGGATCCGGACCGATGTGATTGTGATGGGGAACGCGACTCCCTTGACAGACAATCTAAAAATATGCCCATTTATATGCATCACTCTGTAGTTTTTCAGTATTCCAAGTCCACTCACAGAGATATTAAATCGATCAATAATATCGTCGGTAACGTTGTATGGTGCTCCAATCACAACTTCGTTCACTGGCTGTAATTGCATTTGATTCGTATGTGCACGCGAGGAACTCTTTGGGAGCTGCACCTTTTGATTCGATTAAATTGAAACAAGTGTCTTAACTCTCACCCTGTAAGCGAGAACGCTCAGAACTCTCTCATGCAGCGACATGATTGGATGGTTACTTCCTTTATACTCATTGATTACCTTAAAAACAGAGCATTAGAAGGTAAAAAAACATTAGATAGATCATAGAAATTTCTCTAGGTACGTTTCGCCACTGATTTGAGAGCTAAAGGGCAATGAGTGATGGTCGCACGCGTTGGGTGTTACGCTGACCATTGGGCGGGGCGTCGTCTTCGTTGCGAGCCGTTTCGCGCTTTCCTCATCTTTTCCCTTTAGTTTTGAGCTGCGAAGCGGTAGATCTTTGAGCTGCGAAGCGGTAGATCCTCCATACTCGTGGACAGAATTGCGTGTCTAAAGAAGACGTCGAAAGTGAACGCGAGGTGGGCCCCTGAAAGCTTTACGGGAATGTATATTGATCACACGCGCGCTTAATCAATACCCGCGTTGGCATGTCGTGAGCAGAGATGTGTGTTTCGAATGAATCGGTGATAGCTTTGACTGCATTCGCACTGCTATTATAATTACTGTGAGAAAGAGGTAGCGCACAGGAAAGTGACACCGGTAATCAAGTGTGCGCCGCTGGGGTCAAATCTTGAATGGGCTCTTGTTCAATCAAGCCCTCTTTTCCTACGGAGTCCATTTGTCGGTACCAGACCCGCTTAGGAAGATGAAAACATTGGCTTATATATCAGCTGAGCCCCTAAAGCAATGTATGGACCCAATCGCATCCAAAGCCCCTGCGCCTGCAGATGCGTGGCACGTCCCAGAAAGGAATGATCTGCGC